ACCCCAAAACCCTAAACCCTAGGATGGTGGTCACTGCACTGGTCCTCCTTACAATGGCACGGCCAGTGTCTATAGTACCCCCAGAATGGTAGCCCCATAGTGAATGTTCCAGGGATTGCGATGGCACGACCCTGTTGGGTGACTCTGTAAGGCTGTAGCCAACCGTCAGCCGAAGCCTCCTTGGGCCCAGTTTGGCGCCAAGCGCCCCTAAACCATAAACCCTAAACCCTAATCCCAAACTTGCTTCAGCTCCTTGGTGTTCCATGCTACCCTGAAGCGCCTCCACTCTCAACCTTGAGGCGCTGAAATGACTCAACTCTTGAGCCCGACACACTAAAGCCAAGACCCTGCCAGGTGTTCATCAAGCCGGCCATAGACACGAAAGCCTTCTCTGCCATCGTGGAGCCCCGGGATCAGATGCCTGCCAGCGTTTACTTAGCAGCTGGGCCCACCTTGAGATCTCTAAATAAAAACCCTTAGCCCCAAGCAAATAACCCTAAACTTTAAATGCCCCAAAACCCTCAACCCTGAAACCTCTATAACCCCCGAAACCCCAAAACCCCAGCACCTTGGACACCTAAGCCCTTTGCCAAAAGAGCACCCTAAGGGACCAAGTGCCTACTAATCATATAGTAATCCAAATGCTAACCTACATAACTGCCATCATTGGGTCCTTTTGGAGGGACTTAGTAACTAGGATTTTTATTAGAGTAACTATACTTACAATCGCTTATAACCCCAATTAAGGTATTTAATACCATATTTACTAAGTCCCCTACCCCCCCCCCCCCAATAAAGAACCTTTATAGATCCCCTTCAGGAGCCCTTCTAAGGAAACCTTTATAAGGAACCCTTTAAGGAACCATTTAAGGATCCCTTTAAGGACCCCTGTAAGGAACCGCTTCAGGAAGCCTCTAAGTATTTTTGCGAAGGAACCTCCGAGTGGGGATGCATCAAAGTCCGAATATCTGCATCCGACTCCTCCCGAGCTTTCCGACTCCTGGGTGCTGTTAAGGAACTTAAGCTAAGTTACTATGGTTTAGGGTTTAGGATTTAGTTGGAGACCCCACCCTTCACTATAGATCCCCATTAAGGTACCCCATGAGTCGAAATATATCCCATGATGGTAATTATAAGACTGAGCTCTATATCCCCATGATGGTAACTTAAAGACTGAGCTAAAACAACTGAGCTTTTGTATCCCCTCTTATGGTAACTTAAAAGACTGAGCTAAAACAAGTTCCTAAAAACCCTAAACCCTAAACCCTAAAGCAACCCAGACTCCTGCCAGGATGCTCGCAACACTTCTGGAAGGACTGAGGGCCGGTCTGCGGGGCCTCAAGTAGGTGTTCCTTGAGGATTTAGGTTTTAGAGTTTAGGGTTTAGAGTTTAGGGTATAGGGTTTAGGGTTTAGGGTTCAGGGTTTAGGGTTTAGGGTTTAGGGTTTAGAGTTTAGGGGTATAGGATAGGGGCCTCTGTAATAAGGCTTCTGGGAGGGTTTAGGGCTTGGAGTTTCGGGCTCGGGGTTGAACGCTTCGAGAGTCGACGGGTTCTTTGAGGGTTTTCCAGGGTCCTACAAAGGATCTACAAGGGTTCCAGATGGCATAGGGATCTTCATGGCTTCAATGGGCCTGCGTAACTCTGAAGAGAATGCTGCTCTATAGATGGCTTGAAAAATGCATGGGGACTTTAGGGCCATAGCATTGCGAATTCTTCAGACATCGGTCTGAGGGATTTTGGGCTCCACGGCTTTATAGCGTGTAAGATTTTCGGATGTTTGGTTTGGAGGTTGATCTGTGGTGTAGTACGTCCGGGGTCTGGGGTTCAGTGCTGAGTGAGGGTTTAGGTCTTGGGTTTTAGTGACTTTGACCACGCTTTAGGGCCCTTTCTCCCCCAGAAGCATGCTATTTGTAGGATCCTGTGTTTTACGAAAAGTGTCGGGGGGGCTTGCACGAGACAATTTTTTTGGGGTTTACGACTTAGGGGTTTAGGCGGTTTAGAGCAGTTCTCCATTTCAGTATCCGGGCAAAGTATCGAAGCACTCAGCCCTAGAAGAGCCCTTCGGGGCTTACGAGTTGAAGCCCTTCAGCCCAAATCCGAAAGCTCCATAGCACCCAGACCTTACTAAACTCCTCGGCCTTGAAGACCTAAACTGTTAAAGACTAAGCTCTCATCAGTGTAGGGCTTAGGGCCATAAATTGAATATTTTTTCCGAGTGCACGAGGAATTCCCGACTGCATCAGCCCCTTGCCCGTCGACCTGCCCGTGCATTGTGCCGAGGCCATATCTGCATTGATTTTCGGGCTGAGGAGGATGAGGTAACCCTAAACTTTTTTGGGACTTAGAAACTCTCAGAAACCTCTAGCAAGCCCTAGACCCTAAACCCTTTAAGCCCTAAGCCCCAACATGGTTTAAAGGGTCAGCCGTGTATGGCTTAGGATATTCAGGTCCTAAGCAGATCTTCTAGGACTTGTGGGTTTGGCGCTTCAGGGTTTGGGGCTCCGGGTTTCTCGGTTGAGGGAGTTGTGCGACTTCGCGTGTAGGGTTCTGGATAAGTGTAAGGCTCCTAAGAAGGTCGTTTAGGTTTCAGGGTTTAGGGATTTAGGGGCTTAGGGGTGAGCAATGGCCTACCGTAGTTGGGACAGGAACTTATATAGCAAGTTGTTTCTCATGGCTTGCTGTCTGAACTGAGGCAGCCCCCAATCGAAGCAGAATGGCCAGGGGAAACCCTTGAGTTTGAGTGTCAGTATTCTGGGAAGTTGACTTTACAGGAGCCCCGCCGAGGTGTTCTGGAAGTAATCCAGGTGTCTTTCGCTTGGCCGTGGCCGTGGACCCTAAACCGTGAACCCTAAACCTTAAACCTAAAACCTCTGTTTTGCCGGACTGGCAATGCTGGAGCGTATCATCGCGAACTGATCTGAAACCCCTAGACGCTAGACCCTCAACCCAAGGACCCGCAGCGCTAGAGTTAGAGGACTTGATGGGTGACTGAGTCCATCTGAATCCCACAAGCATGGTTTGGCCGAAGTGTTCCTCCCTTTTCATCTGAGTCTACGGTCTGCTTGGTTTGGCTCCTCGGGTCCCCCACAAGAAGATGTTGGTCTGTTCACACTCGTTCTTTTGCTACAGCAGGAAGCGCAAAGTTGCAAGAACGTGCGCGCATCACACCTACTGGAGGATTGTTCTTGGGCAATGAGTATCGGTTCACATGCATATGTAGGCTACAGGAAAAGTGGCTACATAAAAATGCTTCACGAGGGCTCAACTTTCTTCAAGCTCTGATGGGTTGGCCAACCCTTAAGAGGCGCATCTTCCAGCCTATCCCACTTTTGAGGAGTTTCGGTGGTTCTTGCAGGTCATTACTACGGTGTCTGTGGCTGTTATCGTGTACGATTGCAACTATCTGCATTATCCGAAGAGGTCGTGGACATGATCTCCGAGTACCGCGTGTACGTTGTCCACGGGGATCCTCAGTCGAAGTCCATCTGCGGTTTAGGATTCAGCTAGGGCGCGTTGGGTTTAGGGATGCTTCGGGTCTCGGGCTTAGTTAGGGTTTATCGGATTTATATAGGGTTTATATAAAGTTTAGGGTTTAGGGTTTCGTGTTTGGGCCTGCGATCCGGTCGCAGTCAAGGATGCACAGGACTTGCGTTGGAGATCCGGGGGGTCGTAGTGAATGGAGGGTTCGCCCTATAAGGATAACCAGAGCTACTGATGGACAAAGTTTTGCATTTCTTCAGTACGCTGAACGGTTGGAATCATGGACTATCCCAGAAATGAAAATGTCACCGTGACCACTCATGGCTTCAATTCCAGTACTTCTCACCCGACTTGTATCCGCCCCTCCAGCTTGGGTTTTGTCGGCCTAGAGGATTGCGGTCTCGTGGTTTAGGCTTGAGAGGCTTGTAAGGATTTGGTATTAGGGGTGTGGGAAGGGCTTGGATTGAAGATGAGAGTTTGAGTGTCTTGGGTTTTGGGGCAGGGCGCTGCAGCAGTAGATTCAAGATGCTGGGTTCTAGTGACTGTCAGGACATAACTCGACTCAAGATCGTGCATGGTCTTAAGGTTGAGCAGTAGGGGTAAACGAGGTTTGCCAGTGCTGGGGTAGGTGTTTCTCCTACACAACCACAAGACCATCTTCGGTGTAGTACCCGGACGTATTTGGTGACCAACGGGATCCTTGTACATGAGGGCCTCCTTATCACCCAACTTCTTGTCCTCCCTGCTTCCTAGTGTCCTAGTTTCCCCGATGTTCCATGGAGGTAAAGTAGGACCATAGGTCGGATGTCAGGGCTCCGCACTTCAGGGCTCATTGCTGTGCGAGAGGTCCTGTGTTCATGCTCATCATCGCACTTCTAGGTTTGAGGATCAGCTGCAAGCTGTTGCAACAATCCCCGTACATCATGGATGGGCCAGATCCCCCTCACAGGAGATCCGTGCCATTTGCCACTACAAGGGCCCTAGCGAGGGGGCAGGCGCACTTGATCTGACTGCCGCTTGGATTTGCAAGGGGCCTGAAGCCTAAACTCTGAACCCTAATCCCTGAACCCTCAACCCTTAGCCCTAAAACTTAAACCCTGACCCCTAAAGCCTGAACCCGCTTGCATTTGCAAGGGAAACCTGTCCTGCAGATGCCCTGGACCCCAGCCGAGGGAGCCCGAAACCCTACACCCAGATCGGCATGACATATCAGATCTCAGATACAGCATATTATGTATTATGTGAATACACATACACATATACATATACATATACATATACATATACATATAAACATACATACTTACTTACATACCTACATACCTACATACCTACGTACATA